GGGGGGGGGGGTGTTTAGGGTTTAGTGCTGGTCTCGGGTGGGGTCGTGGGGGCGAGATTCCTAATGATTAAGAGATTAAGGCTACCCATATATGCTTCGACAGGTTCGAAGTTAGGGTCGCGGTTAGGGCGTTCGTTTGGGTATCATCTGGTTACTGTACGGATTTACTGGTAGCCTGGCTGATGGAGCAAAAAAGCCCGAGGTCCTTCGAGACGAAAGTTACATGGTTGTATATAGGGTTGAAAAGAGGCTTCCTCCTACACGGTTCAGGGATTATTGCAGGATTCTTCAAGGGGTTGAAAGGGATGTGTAGTCTAGTCAGGGTCCAGGGTGAAGGACTCCGAGTTGTTTCTAGGTCCGTACTTGAAGGGGTAAGGCTTACTATCTATCTGTCTATGCATGCATCCATCCGTCCATCCATCCGTTTATCAATCTTTCCATCTATCCATCGATCAATCTATCTAGTACGCAGCCTTTCCGCCGTGCATCGGAGGGATGTGACGTGCGTTTTCCGTGACATCCCTTGAATCCCAACCCTGAACCCTAAGCTGTCTTTGAGTTTCCCGCGTGTCGAGGGAATGTAAGGTTTCCGATATGGAGACCCTCAACCCCGAACCCCAAACTCCTTACGCTCTGAACCACATGAGCCCTTAAAGAAGACCACAAAGGAGGGCTCAAAGGCAAAGGGCTTGGGGCTCATAGGGTTCAGGGCTTATAAGGTCTAAGGTCTAGGGTTTATAATAGGGTTTAGGGCTTGTGGGGCATATTATATATAGGGCTTATAGGATTTATGGCTGAAGTATCGCCCTCATCACAGCCACATGCCGGCTTCTCAAAGGCATAGTGCCCGCGGGCATGATGCTTGTGTGCTGCCCAGTTTTATGTCAAAGGAGTCAGCAACCCTGAACCCTGAAAGTGCCGTGGTTGCGGGGCTACGGAGTAGCGCGGGTTCTATGTACTTACCTTAATTCGGCTTGCAAGTAGATACCCGTACAGCTATACTTGTCTTTTTTGATGAAAGGCCCTCAGGTACTCGCAACCCTTCACCGCCCCCAAAAGAACAACGAAAGCCAGACTCCAGCCCGAAATCGTAGATTTAACTGGCCTAAACCCCCCTAAAACCTCAACCCTAAACCGGAAACCAAAAATCTGGAAGCCAGGACCAGCTGTCTAGCCTCAGAGATTCGCTGGGTGGCGCAGCTCAGGCCGTGGTGTGCTGTCTTGTGGGTTTAGGGGATCTTAGGGGTTCGACACGTGGAGTGGGAGGCTACGTTATGGCCTGCTTATCAGACCATAAAGGAGTGTATACCATACTCCGTAACCCTTAGGGTCCAAGTACCTAATCATCATATACTCTCCCAAATAGCAACCTACATGATTACTATCCGAAACCTAAGTATCTAACTATCGGGTCCTTTAAACCCTTAAGGTAGCCTTGTTGTTCTCAATTCGACCCTGAATCCCAAGCCCAAAGCACGCGTCCCCAACCTAGGGCCTCAAAAGCTCGAGGGTTTAGGGTTTAGGG